CAGTGATCATTTGCTACTAAGCAATGCATCATGTTTATTTTTATTTGAAACTTCTTTTAAAATATATTTTTCATTACCACAAAATTAAAAAAATAAATGTATATTACATTAAAAATGCTTTTTAATGTTCATATGAACAGATTTTTGATTGACTGTAATTTTTCAACATTTCGTGATGCCTATTTTAGAAGCAAATTAAAGCCTTTCATTCTTGACGTCTACATTACACTGATGATATACGTTACCATAACCTGCAAAAATATTATATTATTTTTTGTTCATTGTGCTGTATGTTATACAGTGTGAATTTACTCTGTGTACAAGTTTGTGTGTGAAAATCCATAAAAGCATTTAGAATTGCAACAAAGTTTCTTTTAAGTTGCAACTGAATGTTGTGCATATCATTAGCATATCATTATCCTTTCAGGCCTTTGTTTTCTGAAAAATTGTCCCACTGTTACTCAAGTGAAGTGAATGCCCCAATTAAAGCAGCCCAGACTTCATGCATCTGAATTCAGCCATTAAAAAAATTGAATTTTAATTAAAACTGCGGCCTCAATTATGATTTTTATGGTAATTTACACAGTCTTTGGGTCTGAAAACATGCAACTATCAGAATTCATGTTGAAGAATTATTTCACTTTCTCTATATTGGAACTGAATCTCAGTTATGTGTGGTAGGATTTGATTTAAACTTGGTACATACATTACACAATAGTACCTTTATTTTTCAGACATGCCTGGACCAATCAAATTTAAAATTTAAAGTTTACACATACATATTAGACATCATATCAAACAAACAAGCATTTTTGTCACCATCCAATCCAACGAAAGCATGCTGGTCGACATTATGAATGTCAAATCCGAAGTCATGTGATATGTCGCTCCTATGAAACAAACAGGTACTACAAAACAATGTATGCCATTGGCAATGACTTGTATATTTCTTGGACTTGGTAACTCATTGGAACTATGTAATACAATTACCTGTTTAAATCTGGTCTAAATTGTGGAAATTTGGTGTAATATTGAATTAATCAAGATATAACCCTTCTCACTAACCTCACTATCCCATAAGTTCCCAGGGACTTCTTCTTTTATTGAATTTGATTTTATACTTTGCACAATATCCTGATGAAAATACATGGTCACCTGACTACTTATCGCACACAAAATGTGTGTCATATATCCTATCAATTAGAATGGTGAGTTTTGAGCTTTCTTAACATTGGTTTCCAAAGTAGAATCATAATATTATGCAGTTATGAACAATTATTAGGAAATTCTGATAAATACTTTTTAATTTCTGTTAAAAAGTTTAAAAACTATTTCTCATACTAAGGGAATTTAAAAGTTCATGCTATTTGTTTTTATCAGTACACTACAGTCCGGGCGTAACTCCAAAGCTGGCTACATGTATCAGCTTTATTTTCATAAAAAACTTTTTTAAATGAGTGCCACTGATTTCAATAAGTTCAACTTATTTTTTGTAGAATTAACATTGACTGACAAACACGTTTATGTCTTTTTTCCAGGAACAAATAGAGAAATCTGCTTGCGGAAAAATTGAATTGCATACAGGAATACATGAAGATCCATTGAATGTGTCTGATCAATCAATGACTGGGGAGAATGATTTGCATCCAAGCAGACGTGCTGACCAGCTGCAAGCCAGTAACATGAGTCAGGAATCTAGTGAGAGTATTTTGTTACAAAGTAGTTACAGTGACCAGAATTCTGCCTGTGACAAGACTACAGAATTATCACTTGGTGTGAATAACTATATGGCGAGATACACATGTGATGATAAGTTTACTGAAGGTAATACATCTGAACAATCCACATCAAGGGAAAACATATTAGTCACTGCAAGAGTTAATGACAAGCTGGCTGCCAAATACTCGTTTACTTTAAGAAATACAGACTTCCTGTATGCTTCTGACACAACTGAGGAATCAGTATCGAAAGAAAAAAATGATTCATTTCCAGAAAGATGTGTTGATCACTTGAATGTCTGTGATGCAACTGAGGGATTAACCACTTGGAAGATGGAACTTCTGCCAAAGAATTGTGCTGACAATCTACCCAAAGAAACTGTTGAGGAAGACACATCTTATGACAATTATTTGCAACCTAAGACAGGTCAAAGTGTTTGCAAAAGTAATATTAAAATTGAACCTATAACACAAAACTGTGATGTGAATGAAAAATCAGTATCTAGGGGAAATGTCTTGTTCCTACAAAGAGGTGTTGATCAGTTGACTGTCAATGATGAGATTGAGGGAACAACTATTCAAAGGACTGAATTGTTGTCAATGAATTGTAATGACCAGCTTCCTGTAAATGACACAGTTGAAGAAACCATTTCTGGCGAAAATAGATTGCAGCCACGAATATGTAGTATTGTCAAATTTTCACGAAAGGACATTAAAAGTGAACCTATAACACAGGGCTCTGGCATTGAATCAGTATCTGGGGAAAATGACCAGTTTCCAGGAGAGTGTAATGATCAGTTGACTTTCTGTGATGCAGATGATGAAGCTGCCACTCAGAATACTGAATTTCTTCTGCCAAAGAATTGTACTGACCAGCTGCCTGTTAGTGACACAGCTGAGGGGGACATTTCTCATGACAAAAGACTTCTACCAAAGAAATGGAGATGTGTTTCACAAAGTGACATTAAAGTTGATTCTACATGTACACCACAGAATTGTAAATTTGTTCAACCAGTATTAGGCAGCCGGTTGACATTATCACCAAGTACAGTCAATATGACAGTTAGCCATCAAAGAGATAGCTATGCCTACAAAACTGGTATACATCAATCGGAATATGGTCCCCAGTCTGCAGCCTCATCTTTTGCATGTTTTGATGACAATTTGGACTGCTGCCATCAAGATATTGAACACAGTTTGTCACAAAGTCAGTGCATTGATCGCCTTTCTGTCAGTGACACAAAGACAGAATCATCATTTAGTAAGGATAAATTCATGTATGTGGTGAGATGTACGTGTGATAATCATTGTACCACTAGTGACACTATGGAACAATCTACATCTGGGAAAAGCATATTACTTGCAGAAAGATTTAGTGACCGGCTGTCTGCCACTGTGGATTCATCATCTATTGAAAATGTATTTCCTGCAAGAAGAAGTGACTACATACTGTATGTTTCTGGCACGACTGGAGAATTAGTATCTGGAGAAAATGACCAATCAGAATCAGTATCTGGGGAGAATGTCTTTTTGTCACAAAGTGGTGTTGATCAGTTGACTGTCTGTGATGCAACTGAGGAATCAGTCACACTGAAGACTGAACCTTTATCATTAAATTGTGCTGACAAACTACCTGTCAAAGACACAGTTGAAGAAGCCATTTCTCATGAGAATGGATTGCAACCAACAAGATATAGAGGTAACATTAAAGTTGAACCTATAACACAGAACTGTGATGTGAATAACGAATCAGTAAGTGGTGTGGATCAGTTAACTGTTCGTGATGAGTCAAAGGGATTACCCACTCAGAAGACTGAATTGCTATCAAATGATTGTGTTGACCGGGTTTCTGTTGATGACACAGTTGAAGAAACAAGCAAATCTGATAGGCAACAATCTGCATATACTACCTCCTCTACACATCTTGATAATCGTTTGAACAGCTGCCAGCAAGAAAGTTGGATATCTGATTTAAAGGATGAATCACATACTTCTATGCTTCTGAAAGAATCTGCTATGAGTGTGCATCCACCAACTCAACTACAAATAAGAAAAGATCAACAAGTTGACAGTTTTGGTAATAATGGAGAAAGCTATGATGTTGACAGTGACTGTGTTGATTCCGTGGAGGATCCTGATTTTATACCCAGCAGTTTTGAGGTTGTTAATGCCGTGTCACGGTTAAGTTGGTCAAATGAGACAAATGGTATAGAGACAAAAGTATGTGGTCTCCCAAAGAAAACGGATGATCCAGACATCCAAACACATTTTTGCAGCAAAGATACCCTCCCGAATTCACAGAATCAAAACCCAGAAGACATGCAACAAGTTGTGGTGTCTGCAATACAATCACATGATTCCCTGTTCAAGAAGGCTTCACACACGGATATGCATCATTTTAAGAAAAAATCAAAGAAATTAAAGTCACAATCATCTTCAGTTCCGAATGGTGTTGTTGTTCTTACATCAAATAATACCAATGTTAAAAAAGTGTGGGATAAACCTCTTTACTGTCCTTATTGTAGGCGGAAGCTAGCTGGAAAGTTATCGAGACATTTGGCACTAAAACACAGAGATGAACCCGAAGTCTGTTGTGCTTTGAGCCTTTCAAAAGGAAGTAAAAAAAGGAAATTGTGTTGGCAAAAGCTGATAAACAAAGGAAACCATTTGCATAATGTTGAAGTGCTAGAGAAAGGAAGGGGATACATCATTCCTTACAAGAGACCACCATTTCGTATTGCTGCCAGGGAATACATTCCATGTCCAGCTTGTATTGGCTACTTCATTAGAAAGAATCTTTGGAGGCATCACAAAGAATGTTCTGTCCGACTTGCGGAACAGGAGACATGTGACACAAGTGCTAACAAAGAAGTGCTAACAAAGAAGTTGAAGTCAAAATCTGGGTCGTCATCATCTTCAACTCAAAATGGTGTGGTTGTTTTAACATCAAATAATGACAGTGCAAGAAGAGTGTGGGATAAACCTCAATACTGTGTCTATTGTAAGCAGAAGCTAGCTGGAAAGCTACCAAGACATTTAGAAGTAAAACACAGTGACGAGCCTGAAGTACACTTTGCTTTAAGCTTTCCAAAAGGAAGCAAAAAAAGAAAATTGTCTTGGCTAAAGCTCTCAAACAAAGGAAACCATATACATAATGTTGAAGTGCTGGAGAAAGGAAGTGGATATCTCATTCCTTGCAAGAGACCACAATTTCATGTTGCAGCCAGTAAATACATTCCTTGTCCAGCATGTTTTGGCTACTTCATTAAAGGAGATCTTTGGAAGCATTACAAAGAATGTCCTATTAAACTATCAGAATGTAAAACAACTAATACAAACGGCCGTAGGATACAAGCGAAAGGTGCAATGCTACTGCCTCAGAGTGGAAATGTAAGTAAGAGCTTTAAGGAACAAGTACTTGCTGCAATGAATCAGGATGAAGTCACCATTGCATTAAGAAATGATGACTTAATAGTAAAGTATGGAACACTTGAATACAAGAAAGTTGATCCTCTCTCAGAAAGGCTCCTATTTGTTAAACAAAAACTTAGGTACCTTGGAAGACTTCTGTTGAGCATTAGAAATATAGTAAATGCCCCAATATCTTTAAGGGAATGCATCCATCCGTCAAAATTCCAGATGATACAAACAGCTGTACAAGATATAAGTGGCAATGATGCAAGCAAGCCGGGTACCAAACAGTCTATAGTCGTTAAAATAGGATATGGTCTGAAGAAATGTGCTACCATTTGCGAGGTTGATGCAATTAAGAGTGGAAATAGTGAAAATGAAAGAGCTGCCAATGAGTTTCTGAAACTCTGTGATATGGAATGGTTGCATAAAAACAGCATGCATGCATTACGACCAGCAGCAGATTCTAAGCTCAGTAAGTACATCTACTGCTTGTATTGTTTGCTAATATTTAACTATTCTAGACTATTTTTTTTAAGTAATTGTTTTAATTACTTTTTTGGCGTAGTCCAAAACGTAAATTTGACTCAAGATGGCCAACTGATGGCCATTGTGTCAGTTCCCATTCAGATGTAGTCCAAAACAGAAGCTTTGTAGCCTATGCGACTCTTTTCATATGCATGTGCATTGATTTGGTAATCCGATCAAGAATGGCTGACTGCTGGCCCCCTTTTTTTATCTAAAAATACACTGAAATAGATTTTCTTTTCCTAGACACTCCTGTCATGAATTTGTTTTTGCGTATCTGTTGACCGACTTAATTAGCTGATTATTAGCTGAATTGCTGTGTTATGTCTGTCATCGTTTAGGTCTATTTGAAGTTTTGGACGGAACTTGGCTCAGAGTCTTTTTACTGCTTTGTAATTGGTTAGAGTTTTGAAAATGAATAAAGAGAGTTTGAGTTGGTCTTGGCGAATACTCCACGATAGACGCAGTAGAGAGAGAGTGCAGTCCTGGGCAGTCGAGAGTCCAGTCCTGGGCGAGTCTTGGTTCAGCCTTGTGAGAGTCTTGGGGACTTTTCCCCAGGGTGCTGTGTCTTATAGAGTGCTCCAAAAGATCGACTAAGACGAGAGCTGAAACGTATTTCGTTGTGTGTGCCTTATTTGACTGTAAAGTTAAAGTGACTTTCCCGATCCCGTACCTCAAGGGGACGAGATAGAGAGACGAGACGAGTTTCCCCCCTGACAATGTGGAGAACCCCGAGGAAGAGAATTTCCCCCTGATACTCCCATTCCAATTTGTTTAAGATTTGTTAGTCACTGTTTTAACTTGTAACTGTCTGTCCATCAATTGTCAATTTTTTGTTCAAATTTGGTAAATATATTATGCATGTTTTGGGAATGAATCAAATATTCAAATGTCCGTCTTTGTCATTTTTGTCCCACGGTTACTTGTTTGAACATATATTGAGCAAATTTTTAGAGACGTTTGATGGTTGAACATGCTTTTTGCATTTAGATTTGCTAACTTGTGTATTTGAAGAATGCACATAATATTTCAGACTACCACTTTTAACCTTTGTATCATGGCATACATATGCACATGCAGTCAGTTTGTCGTCCAATCCTGCTGGCACTATTTAGAAATTGCACATGTGTAATATAAATTTTAAACGCATTAAATGTCTGCAATGTTGGCCATGGGGACTGTGCTATGCACGGGTTGTTATATATCTAAAGTTTGTAATAGTTCTGCTATGTTTCAAGGTGATCATAATATCTTGTCGTTTACAATGACTTGTTGACTTTATTGTAGGTTTGAAAGATCAAGATAAAATTCGAATGAAACAAAATTCATGCAAGCAGTTATCCAAAAAGAAAGCAACAGATCAGAAAAAACGGAAAGGTACTTATTGCTTTTTTTATATGTCACTAAATCTTGACCAGTGCGGGGCTCTCCATGCTTTCTATTTCTAGTTCGTGCACCTGTTCTAGAGATAGTCCTCGAAAATGGTAAATGTAATTCCTAGTGCAAGTTAATCTTCTTGGCCTCTGTTTCCAAATACCTTTTGCATTGTTGTTGCCTTTGCATTTCATATACTTTGCATCAAAGTCGCATCACTGTAGTAGGAAATAGTCGCATAATAACTGCCTGAATTAGGTTGCATAGCAATACATATTTATAATTGATTCATTGCAAATTTGTAACGTGAAAAAGATTGAGAGTGTACATCAATAGTTATTTATTGTAAACTTCATTTTATCAAAAATTTGATCAGGACAAACCAAATGAACGATCATAATGTCGCACAAATCCACAATTTAGATGGTCTTGTATAGTTTATCTGTGGATGTGTGAATTTCGATTTAACTTGTGAATCAGTGTCGACCACCAGTGTAGCTTGCATGTTTTATTTTGTTTCATGAATATTGTGCAAGTCTATACAGTCTATGCTAATTCCCAATATATTTAGAACACAAAATACATAGCTTGATTTAATCGTTTAATGGAAATGTTGAAGACAAACGCAGTACATAAAAAGGACAATAAATAATTTTATCCGAATGGTACCTTCTCCAATGTAATATTATTGAAACAAGCTCAAGATTATTTGTATACTGAATTTTATTTGTATTGCCCCAAGCAAGCTAAAGCTGATATGGATCTTTGAAACTCTGGTTTTATGTCCATTGATAAAAAATGAAAGCCGTGAGCTATTATCATTGCCAGCAAACAGTGAAAAACAATTGTTACAATATTTGGAGAACACCACCTGCTGAATTGCTGGCAATAACTGGAGCCACGTTCAGCATGAAATTAGTGACAATACATGGAGATATGAATTCAGTGCTTATTGATCTCTCACGATGCTAGATGAAGCTTTCAAGCTGTTTTTTCCCCATGATATCAATATTGATCGAAGGAGCCTGGCAATACCTGACACACCACCCTGTAGTATGCAAGCAGAGCTGCATGCTTTTGCTTGACTACACAGGATTTACAATATGTTTCCCTATATGTTGCATTTACATCGTTGGTCAATTGATGCATGCCTTCCTTTTTGTGGCACATTCCACACTCTGCTATTTGTGGGAAGAGTTTCACAATTATGCAACCTCATTTTTACACATTGATTGAGATGCAATTTTATTCTGAACTTTATTTTTGAAATTCCGTCTCTCTCGAGAATATACATTGGCATTTCTCAAGCGAATGAACCCATGTTCACAGGTAGTCCATGATCAAATTTACTTGTACACTGTATGTTGTCCAAAGTGACGTCACACAGTGATGCGTTAATATAAAGCTCACCTAAATATATCACTGACCATAACAATTAGAGTCATTTCTGCAGTATGTTTTGTATTTCCCCTGGTTTTGTATATTTTTCACCATTGAATTCATGAATCAGGATTTTATATGCATGCTCGTTTCTGGTTTGTTTCAGTACTGGGTGTTCGGGTACCTTGGAGTGCTAAGGAGAAGGCCGCTGTACAGAAATATTTCAAAACTCATATCTTATCGGATAAAATTCCCAGAGCGCACGAATGTGAAGATGCTAGGAAGCAATACCCAATTCTTTGTGATAGATCATGGAGATGTATAAAGTATTGTGTATATAACATGCTATCTTGCATAAAAAACAATAGAAGAAAACAAAAAACTCAATGATTAGAAGATAAATCCCTTCTAAGAAGACTTTTCTGATAGAGGACTTTATAGTCAGGGGAGTATGGGGTTTTTATTTGACTAAAAGAATTTTATTTTATAATACAGTATAGCCTAAAAGTTTATCAAAAGTGTATTATGCATTTGTTTTTGACAAAATTCAGTACACATGTACGCAAGTTGTTTGGAATTCTTAACTATTATTTGCATGACCTTTATGAGCTGTTTAATTACCAGCTTATCAATATTCATAATTTTACTCAAAACGTCATATAGCTCAAAAGCCAATGACGAACAACTCCTTCCAGATAGCTTAATGGAAAGCGTGTCTATCACTTCGCCCGTTGTGTGAGCTCTGATTTCAAACCCAGTCTCTTAAGCACAATTTATAATAGGCTTGAGGACATGTGTATATAAAGTCCTGCAAAGTTGCCTTCCGATCGCTCAAAAAGCACTAGGTAGGGTTTAAGATTAGTTTAAGCTGCATTAAATATTGATATGAATATTTTAGCTTGTAATTAATATTCGTAGAGTGCGAGCAACACAATATATTGTACACTGTATTTAATTGTGGTTTATAGTATATCAAGTCATTATAAACTCTTCAAATGAACATCACTTTTTTGTTATACGATTTTTGTTATTCTCCCTATTGTTTCATTAACATTATCTGGTGCATGGATAAGTCTCCATGGTACTGATTTTAATTTATTTGTTTGTGTGCTTTTCTCACCAAATCTAGGTGTATGTATATCGTTACTCTACTATTATATGGGAACGCGATATGTGTAAAATTGTAAGGTAGATTAAGTTGTTAATTGACATTGTACCACGTTTACTCGAATTTTGTTTCAAAATAAATAAAATCCATGTTCCAACACGTTTATATGCATATTATTCTGACATTTTACATGACCCATTATTGCTCGACTAAAATACAATGTACACAGTAGACAGAAGTACGACTCACACGCAATGGCCGTTATATTTACATCGCTTGTAAGAATTGCTCATGTGAACGCAAGATTACGGGACCCCTGCCTTTCAATTACGGGGCAAAACTTATGCCGACTTAACTTAAGAGATTACCTTTCAAGTGACCGAGATGTGTAGGTTACACGTTTCTCCAGTTAGCAAATGACATCTCATCAGTAAATGTATGGTGTTACGTTTACGTAGGGTATATTTCGCACAATTAACATAATACATTAATACGACTTCGTCTGTTCTATGGGTTTGGGGTGTTTACATTATTACAACATCATTCTGACTAGGAATGCATTTCTGTTAAACGACTGAGGTCTGACATCTGAGAAGTTTATCGTTTCAACTATAAACACCAGACATAAGACTATTGAATTGAAAGATTGGTAAAACATCGCTATTTATACGTAGTAGGCATATTTATAATTTCTCGTCAACTGAGAAGATGCCATTCAGTATGAAACTATGATGTATTCTCAGCACGTTTTGAATAAATTAAAACACTAAAACACATTATTTTGTAGCTAAAATTCAGAAATAAATTCATTTTATTGTTGAAACATCCAATTTTAACAATTCAATATATAATCCATATATCAAAGTCCAGGACCTATACACGTCCACAGTAGTTTAACATATCTTTCAAAGACGTGTCCCTCAAAGTATTAGATTCGTTATCGGATTACAAGAAGTCAATGCCTTTTTTCTTAATAATCGTCATTATTCCAACATCAATGAATATACTGCATAGACGTATGTAGGTACAAATTAGTGGCATGTATGGTTGTACACAATAGTGTTATTAGTATTGTGTTACTGACGTACATTACCACGTGACACAGTATTCAAATATCACGTTAATTTACTGTTGGTCGACATATTGATTATATAATGATATATGAATTAAACACTCGATATATTATAATGATTATTAAGTGTTTACATTATATTTCTACGAATATGTAATATAAACTCATAGTATGGAAAGCGTTTTTAGTGTTTATACTAGCGACAATCGCTGATTGGTTAGATTAATTACACGACATATCGTATCTACACATTTTTAATAAGTCGTGCCCTCCGTCGAAGCGTTTCTTATTGGCGGGGCTGAATTGCGTAGTTGATTAGTGTAATCGCAGTGCCGTTCAAGTACTGTAAAATATTTTATTATAGCCTGAATTAATTTTCACCGAAAGAATTGTTTTGGTGTCATGTATGTTTAGTTTTCACTGATTCGTGATGGGTTGAACTTAACAGAAGAAAAAAGCTATATGTTCAAAAATAAAGTAGTTTACAATACTTAAGTTGCGTCATCGCTCGACTTACAGTAAATCTCTAAACAAACTTATTGACGAAGTATCACAGATCAAAACAATATCGACGTTTTTAATGGCATCCCTTATACACACGGACGTCATACACGCGCTTTTGGCACTAGAGGGCGCGACTTGAAGGAATGGTGTATTATGTTTATTTGTTTTGTGATTCCATATATTCACGAAGATCGTGTGTCAGTAGTTTATCAGGTGACCTCACTTGTTGGATAATATTACGCCCAGCGAAGACATAGCGATCGTCGTGAATTACTAAAGATCTATCTGGCCAACACCAGAACGCATCATCAAATTTGTTGTCCATGTCGTCAACAACAACACGAACTTTACTTGCATCGTAGGGGTCAGAGGTCACTGTGTCAGGGATAATATCCAACAATTGTCTACAAAATAGAGAGAGAAAAAAACATTTTTTAATTACAACACGTAGTATCTTGTAAAACAGGATTGGTTACTTTCATATATATTTAATTGTAAACCAGTCTCTCTTTCTCTTTCTCTTTCAGTGTACTTTGTTTTGTAAATTATATTAAAAAAAAATTCTCAATATCTAAAAAAAAAAAAAAAAAATTCAAAACCTACATCAAAAAACAAACTTAGCGAAATTGGCAAATTATTATGGCACAAGAAACAGGTAAATTCATCTAGTCTAAATGTGATGCATATAAAGTTGATATATTTGTACATATATTTGTACGCTTTTTCGGGATCAATATAAATCTATGTTGACCCACGTTTATTTTGTATTTTGTCAAAACTCTGATGCATAATATTACATAATTATAAGATTACGTATATGTTAACATTAAATGCATAATGTTAAATTAGCCAGAGAGTTCTCCGAACCCGCAGATTCACATAGTTCATACCCACCATAGACTCCGGTCAGTCAAAATGACTATTTTTTTGAACTGTAGGCATTAATCAGCGATTCTGCCAATGAGGGAGAGATATAATCTAGGTCAGGGGAAGCCCCATGACCCCAAGATTCTTTTCCCTTACATCACGAACCACGTGACCGAGGCCATATGCCAGCGCCATTACTGCTGGCTAATCACCCTGGTTCCTTTCTCTCCGCATCAAGGACTTAGACCAACGCTACGGAAAGAGTGGGCTGGTTGGGGGGACCCAGAGTCTATGGTGGGTATAAAATATGTGAATAGGCGGGTTTGTGGAAACCTTTGCCTAAATTCTCTACGTTCAATTACCCACCATAGACTCCGGTTAGTCATAATGACTATTTTTGAACTGTAGGCAGAGTCAGACGTCAACAGGTGGCGGGTTGTCCGAGCAAACAGAAAAATGATCTCTTCCCAGTTCGGGATGATACAACAATCACCCAACACCTTAGTCAAGACCCCAAGAGGGTGGTGTCTTACCTTGCCTGTGCTGTCCCCAGAGCAAGAAGCCAAAAATACTGCTACGGTGACAGGGTTCGGTGTGCCTGAGAAAGCTAGACCCAAACCCAATTTGGGAGGTAGTATGCTTTTGAAGTAAGACCGAACCAACCGAAACAGTTCTGCATGAGGGCATAGGTCGAAAAGCGGGACCTGAGTGCTTTCAGTTCTGATGGTAGAGAAATATGTCCGCAAAAATGTCGAGACTGACTTATCGCCTATGTGTAGGGACCCTTGTGGTCGTTGGAGCTGGGCCAGCAATCCAAGTCTGACCTGCTACGACAGGACCCAACCTGATTGGATATCTCTGAGGTAGTAGTTGATTTTGACGTTCTGCGTACTCCAGAAGCCTGCCCTTGGAATGTGTTCAATGGGGGCGCCTGACGCTAGCGCTAGTGAGTTAGCAATTGTATGGACCTCACACACTCATACTTGGTGGCTCTGCAAGTTCTGTGTTGAGGAGGATAACCTATTATAGATCTCCAATACAGTCGCAGTAATCCAACTGGCGAAAGAAGTCTAGGAGGCCGGCTTATCCTGCCTGCCAGGGCCATAACACAAAAAACATATGTTTGGTTCCCCATTTCAGAATCCTAGTACGGTTCTTGAAGCAACTCAACGCTCAAACCAGGCAGAGAAGCAATTCCTCCTGATCCTCCGGGCCGACATTATTTGATAGCTGGAGAATGTCGATCAGCTGTGGATTGTGTCCTGGGATTTGTTTCTTGGTGAGAAACCTGATTCGTGTCTTTAGCACAACTTGATCATCCATAAAAGGTGGCACACCTGTCTATAAAGGACAGTGCGCCTAGCTCTGACCGGCACCTTCCTGAGGTGAGGGCCAGTAGGAAGACTGATTTGCACATCAAAAACTTGAGTGGTGCTGATCGGAGGGGATCAAAGGACAGTCTTCGTAGAGCAGACAGATCCCAATTGGGCTGTTCCCTTGTATGGGTTCTCGGCCTCTGATTATGGAAAGCAGTAATCAGTCTCCTAATAATCGTCTTGACCCCAAAGTGTTCTCTATGGTTGGGACAAGGCTGACCTGTAGCCAACGATTGCTGTGCAAGACAAACCTACTTCGTCAAACAGGAGGACAAAGAAGTCTGCTACCTGGCCAATAGAGGGATGGCATAGATCAATCTCCATTCCACTAAACCAACTAGCGTATGCTCGCCACTTTGAGTTGTGCAAGTGGTACACCGCTGGGCTAGTTGGTAGTGCGCCGTCTGGTTGGAACAGCAAGTCCGGTAGGTACGGAAGCACTACTGGTGTTTTGACTAGCATTTCCAGCAGAAGCTAAAACCAGGCCTTGGTTGGCCAATTGGGCGTCACTAGAGTCAATATGCAGGTGGGCTCCCGTAGAAGTTACCCCAAGAGCCGGTGAATTAGGGGGAAGGGAAGAAAGGCGTACGTATCCATGTTGGTCCATGGGATCAATAAGGCGTCCATGTCCAGGCAGGAGTGTTACGCAAGTCAGGAGCTGGCGTTCTGAGGTGCAACAAATAGGTCTATTATTGGATCGTCCCACAGTCGAAACAACCTGGAGGCTACCCACTGGGGTATCTGCCACTCCAAGTTCTGGAGACGGAGCCGCCTCAAAAGGGCGTCTGTCAGACTGTTCTTCACCCCTGGAAGGTGGTGTGCGGTTAGCTCCACATTGTATTCCAGGCACCAAAGGAGAATTTGTTCTGCTAGGACTGACAACGATGGGGAGACTACCGCTGTGTTGTCTGTGTGGAGCAGGACTTTGGTCTCAAACTTCAGGTAGAAAGCGTAGTAGTGCTAGGTGCACCGCTTTCAGCTTGAGCCAGTTGATATGGTGGTCCCGAACCCAATGCGGGGGCCATATTCCTTGGGCTTGTTTGTCCAATAGATGCGCTCCCCACCCTTGGAGGGAGGTGACTGTTACCAGAGTCATAGTTGTGACGAGTGGGTCCACGGGGACCCCCTGTCCGAGGTTGAGGACCCATAGGTGAGCTTGGTGTTCCAATAACAAGCGTTGGACCAGGCAGCTGAGTAACGCAGCTTTGGGAACTACCAGTGTTCTCCACGATCCAAATTAGCTGGTGGGCGGCCTAATTAGCATGAATTTGCATATGAATTTGCATATCATTTACATACAACATTCTCGCATTTATGACATGAACTACAATACACACTAAGTTATTTACTATTCTCTTTTTAATTTAATTTAATTGGAACATGTTACAATTTTTTGAAATACAAACAGATTGGTCACTATCAATATTTGCGAAATGCAAAAAGTTTGAAATCGGTGATTTATGCGTTTGCAAATTATTCTGCGTTCATGAAATGCAATTCGAGTAACCAAGAGCAAGTACAAAA